TTTGAGTAGATTTTATCAAAATAACCCGTGCTTATGATGTGTTATTTCTCGGTTTGTTAAATTTTTTATATAGATATAGTTATTACGATTTTTTCACGTTTCGTAATTGTACGACAATGGTCGATTGAACTGAGAGTATATTTATGAAGTTTTTTGTCTAAAATCGTATATTGTAACATCGATGATATTCATAACCTCCATGTTCAGACGTACTATTGTATAAAATGAATAATTATTAAAAACGAGATTGTGTAAACGAAGCAAAACTTTTCGCATGAATTTTCGATTTGTCGAATGAACTAGGATTAATTTCGAGTCCCAATGATATTATTAATAATTGGTCGATGCAGTGTTTTGAGTTAAGTTTCAAGCGGAAGCGTTGCCCTTCCGGAAGCCGTCTCTGACGTAAAGAGCTAGAGAAGCGTACACTTCCATTTTCTCGACCCTCTCGGCGAACAGGGAACACGTGTTTACTCGCCGGTCGTGTTCAATTCATTTTATCGTATAAAACTTTGCGTCATATTTGTAATCCGCTCGAGCCTGGTAACCAAGTAATCGGAGCTTCTGATCCTCGCAGAGACAGGTTAACATGAATCCTGAAAAGTTGAAGAAGCTTCAAGCCCAAGTGCGAATCGGCGGTAAGGGAACACCCCGACGCAAGAAGAAGGTATGTAGATATATTTCGAATGAATAAGTAACATGAATATATTGAAGTCACATTAATTTCGTTGGACCATAAGTTTTCGAGTTCATAGAAATGCATGTTCCAAATGTCATTCGAATGACTCGTGATTTTCTTTATTTCCAATGACTACACCATAATTCTCGATCACCAATTACCATTCTTGTGTGACATCAAAATTTTGCCATCGTACCCTGTAAGACATCTTATTATTATGTTCGCAAATTACTTGTAAACGTTCCACGTTCGTGATACTGGTTTTGTGACTACTGTTTATCATTTATTACGTGCCATTTACATAGATATCTTTATTGTATCTTGATGTAAGAGATTTGAGATTGTTGCTTTGATTTCAACTTTGTTAGCGAGTTTCATGTGAAATGTTTACAACTACCTCAGAGATTGGTGTCTTATATGTTTTAAGGAAGTCATACGTCAAAAAATACTAATTTATGGGAACAAAATTGTTTTATTAGGAAGTATTCTTTCTATATTTTGTACAGTAACATTTTTTATATTGTTGTTTAATTACATTCAATCTATTTTTAGGTTGTACATGCTACTACAGCTACAGACGATAAAAAGTTACAAAGTTGCTTGAAGAAGCTGTCTGTAAACACTGTCCCTGGTATCGAAGAGGTTAATATGATCAAGGATGATGGTACTGTCATCCATTTTAATAATCCAAAAGCTCAGGCAAGTTTGTCTGCCAACACATTTGCCATCACTGGTCATGGTGACAACAAACAGATAACTGACATGCTACCGGGAATAATAAGCCAGTTGGGACCTGAAGGTGTTACACAATTGAAACGATTAGCAAGTACAGTATCTGGCAGTACGGTTGGCAAAGCCACATTGGAGGAAGATGATGAGGTGCCTGATTTGGTGGAAAATTTCGATGAAGCTAGTAAAGAGGAGGTAATAATCTAATTCAGTTAACTATAATTGTTTCATACCTTGAGATCATCCATATCTATACGAGATCTTACTTGGATCTTATTTTTTACTCAATTTGTTTTTGTTATTGCTGATTATATGCTTATTGCTTTAAAAATGTTATCCTTTTAATATTAATGTGTTTAACATTGATATAAATATTGCCTTCATATCTTGCAAGAAAGTATTAGTAAAATTTGTGCAAAATTGTTTATAACTATCTAAAATTTCTTCAATTTTTTTAAGGTGGCTACCAAAAAGGAAGCGGATGAAAGTGACAAAGCGACTGGTGATAAAAAGGAGGTTGTTTTGAAAGAAATAGAACTAGAATAGAAATCCTTTAGCTTCTCCTGAAGCTTAAAGCATTCAGTACTAAGGTAACATGATAATACAAATCCATCCAGAATACATTAAGTCATGTAAAAAGTAAAAATAAATTATCTGATTTCTTTTTCCACAGCTATTTCATACAACTAATTGTTGTAATTGACAAGTTGAGAAATACAAGTTGCAAAAGCAACGCGTAAGCGAAGTATCACACCACTATACATACGTTATAAATATTTGTCATACCCTATGATAATACTATATGAGTAACAGTTATCAAGAAAATAAAAACAGCTGTTACAGAAATCAAAAGTTTCTATGAACAATGGTCTTTTCTTTGTTGCATTTGCGAATAGACTTTGCTCCGAGTCAGTTGAAAAAATGATTTTACATTTCCCAAATATTGAGAGATTCTGTGACCGTTTTGAGATCCATGATCGAGACTGTTGATTAATCATGTACAAAGTCTGGTGTTTGAATTTTAGACATTTAATTCGACTTTCTTCACATGAAATGCGATGTGAAATTGCAATTTTTATCCTGATCTTATTCATAGTTATGTACTTCTTACTATCACGTTGTGTTCGCATGTGTTCTTATTTTAATGGTAACAAACTTAAACAAATTTATAGGAGTATTGATTAACAAATGAAATCAATTTCCCGGCAAACGATAACAGTAATCTTCCACCTATTCGCAGCGATGTTACATAGGCGGAAAAAAAATTTATATAGAGTATAGAAAGAGTAAAAAAAATGTGCGAAATATTGAGGCACCTCTATTTTAATTGATGGAATTAATAGAAACTACAAAGTAAGAATAGCTTTTCGCTGCAGCTTTCCAGTATGGAAAATGAGGTGTAATATTTGTAATGTAATCTATGGAATAAATTCATTTGCTGGAAATACGGTTTTCTACTTAAAATTTCATGTTCTTTCTGGATACACAATTTAGTCGTAATTTGTCGATATTTATATTTTCATCATAGAATAGATCTGTAATAACAGTGTAATTATGGAAATATACTAATAAGAGCTATCCTGTATAATAGTATTAGTTTCTCAGCATTTTCCGTTCATAATTTGTATTTCATGTGACCATGATTACATTCGTTTATCCTTCGTTTAGTTATTATTTCTTTCTTTTCTTCAATTAGCAATATTTTCTCATAGACAAAAAGAATCGCACATTTAAATGGATTTAATAGATATGTTAGTTGTTATTAAGTATTAATGAATACTTAAATCATAAAACGAGTTTAATTCCATATATCACACAAAATGTTTATGTCCAGCAGAATACAACAAATTTTTGTCTGAGTTATTATTTTTCTGGTTAATCTTTATTCCTACTTATTGTTATGTAAAATTATGCTGTACTATGATATCTAAATATATGATAACAATTGCAAGGCAACCGTACACTAATTGATCTGACACAGTGAGGCCTTTATCCACTTGAACCATTTAAGCGTTAGGTAGACTAAGACCTCATCAACTTTAGACAACGAATAACTGGTGTTCTCTATTTTCTGATAGTAAAGTAAATATTCGCATTCAACCAATAGGTGATATAAGTGGAACAAAATTCTGGAAACACGACTGAAATTTGTATATTTTTGAAATGAAAACGTACCTTATTTATATCTAAGTTTTGTTCACAACAAAATGTAACATTTAAGTACGGATAAGCTCAGTTATATAAGTCTAGCGTTTATATAATCGTCGATTATTTTTCGCACTCGAAAATTCTGTATTGCAATCTCTGACGATTGCAACACTTGCGCCAACCATGCGGTATTGTTCGACGTTCAAAAGCATCATTAACGCGGTCTCATTAACGAACGTTCTTCTTTCTGAAGCTTTACGAAGTTTACATCTCGTCGAAGAAAAACTTCTGTCGTTTTTCCACGGCTTACCGCGCATTTTCGCCGCGAACTTTTTCGTTTTACTTATTCCGTCCGCTCTGTTTGCCAATGGAACGAACTGCAGCCAGATAAGAATAAGGTGAAGGCGTCGGTGACGGGTGCTTCGTCTTCCTTGATTATTCGTTTAGTTTACTTTATCCCGACTGCGTTCCGGGCGTTTCTTTCCTTGCACAGTGTGGCATCGTTTGCAAAACTCGTTTCTTGCTCGACGCATTCTTCTCCGTCTAAAAGAATTTATCTTTATCCTTACTGGAACATGTAACTAAGGATTTATATAATGCATAATTTCTCTGATAAATTCGAAGTGAATCACTCCGATTGTTTGACACTTTCAGTGCTAATAGTGGGATCTCATAACATGCTGATAACATTTTATGATCATCGAGTAGCTTAAGATAGTATTTTGAATGTTCTGAAACGAAAAATAATGCAGTATAATTTATCACTGTATTGTGCATATTTGTGCATTTATGGTATGTGCACAAAATATGAGGGAATGTTTGTATCAATCAAAATTAATGGAACTTTTAGAAATTGTATATTTAAACACAGTCTATGGAAATAGGAATTTACGTAAAGATCTAAAAACTAAAAAATTTTAGGTCGAGTAATAAATAATTTCAGTACATCACTTTTATTTAACGATGAAATAAACGTTACGATAAGCGTTACCATAATTTGTTTCTAGATATGTATGTACAATTCAATTCTTTATTGTTTTATTTAATCAGACGGTACGGTCGGAGACAATTCGTGGCAGGAGAAAAATTACTATATGTAGAAGATAGCGAATGTCGCTGGAAAACAATATAAGCTGACAGAGACATCGCATTTTCTCCTTTGTTTCGCACGTGCACAGGCACTAGTGCGAGACATGGTCGAGTGGATAGTTGGGAGACGTGTACCTTCAACGTGCATAAATTTTCAAAAAGTTTGTTTCACGAACGTTCCCTGGCACGTAGACGCAGGGCAGAACTCTGCTACTTGATGGTTAGTCGTGCCGGGAAATGATACGTGAGTGTATACCATTTCCATTAAGCGTTAGAAATTTACAACAATTAGCTCTGCGGAGTTTTGGACGGGGCACTTTTCCACTGAATTTTCGTGGGAAGTCTCAAAATTCTCGAGCAATTTTAAGCGCACAGAAATACGAAAGTGCAAAGTACAGAAATAAATTCGCCTTCAGTATCGACAATTTTCGTTTAAAATATCAAGAATTTCTGAAGGGTGTAAAGAAATTGCTCATCTCAGGGTTTGCACCCAAAATCTAGGGGGTCAATTGTAATGTGTTATCACATTAAACTGCGGATTTTATGCATTTATGACAAAAATGAGTATTTGTAATGTCAAACAGTAGAAAGATTAAAAACATTTAATAACGTCGATATACTAAAATTATTAAGGAAAGAATGCAACTTTGAAGTTACTCATATTTGTTGCAACAGATGCAGATAATTTGTATTTTACATAAAGATCGGCTGTCTCGTTATCATTCAAATAACTTAGTATTTTATTTACACAAGAATCAAATTTTAAGAAAGAATTCAAATTCTTTGGGATCTACGAAGTAGAAGAAAATTAAAAAAGTAGTAGACTGAGGATTTTCTGCGTTAATGAAGTAGATGATAAAGAGAAAAGAATTAAGAAAAAAAAAGAATTAATGAATTATTTGTAATGATTCCAGCTCATTGAAATCATTAAGAAGATTTTTCTTTTGTATAAAAATCCACTGCGATAAGTCTTGTCTTTTCAGTTTCTGTTTCATTGAATAAACAGCTTCGGTTTTGTAAGATATTTACAACCGCAGATTCGAGGCTAAAGCAAAACGTACAAAATTGATTGGAATTATAATTGCAAGCCCAACAATCGGGCATGCGACGGACTAGGTGTTTACAACTAACCAGACCTCAACAGTCGATCAAAACGTTTGAATCATAGCCGCAATTTGTCGCTTGCAGTTACCCGCAATGTTGCGTTTGCCCACGGAATACCTCGAGAACCTTTTTGATGTATTATGGTCCCGCGTGTATGGCACCGTTGTTCCATTTTACTTGCCTTGTTGCAATTCACGAGAATGATGAACATTCAGCTTTGATTGTCGAATTACACAAGAACTGATGTAATTCGTGCAACGTTTCTAGTGAGTGATTGTTTTAGAGATGGATTGTTCGCACTATGCTGGAGTTGCGATTGCGAAGAAAATTCTTTTCTTATCAAGGAATTTTTATTATACCGATTCTAGAGGATTGGTTATAATTAGAATTATTTTTAATTTTATTTATCAGTTTCATATTCTTTATAAAATACTGCTTCTAGACATTTCGACAATTGAAATTAATTGTCAGAAACTAGATGGTTAAATACTAATAGGTCACACTCTGGGTCTACACGGACCCGAGTCCCGCCGTCTGAGAGTTTCCACAAAACCGCTACAATTATTTTGTCCATTAAAAAGTTAATGATCTGATATATGTACACTGCAGATTTTGAAAATTTGTGAAACAAATGTTTGTTTCCTATATTTATAAAATCAATGAATCAACAACGAGAGTAAACAAGAGAACGAAGTTCTATAAAAATTGGTTTCTTATTTGAGAGTCATCGTGCACTGTAAACGCAGTCTAATAATATGTTATCTGTGTCAAGTATTACGGAAGCGACAGACAACGGAAAATTACGCGAATGAATAAGTATTACAATGGAGGCAGATATAGATGGATAATGAGAGTGGGGCAAAAGGAGGGTCGGTCAAGAACAGAGATTAGTGTTTTGCCGATGGTGACCGAGAACAGGTCACACATCGAGCACCAGAATCCACATCTGGGATGACAATAGAAGATTAATTTCAATTGTTTGTCTAAACAATCGTTTAGACAAATCTTTTCAGTGCAGACTCGAGAAAAGTTAAAACCACTTATCTTGCGTTGCACTGTAAATTAAACTATCAGATCGATCCGATCGATAGCTGAATAATTTGAATCGAATTACAGATGCGAAACTCCGATAACAAAATTTCGTGATATATTGTACCTTAATCGTCAATGGATTTAGCTATTGATAAATTTGATTGTGTGCTTGTAGAAACAAACTCATGGACGTGACGCACTTTTTCTAGAAAAAATTACTGTTTTTCGTAAATCTGCTAATAAATAATTTATCAGAGAACATTGGTTTTTCCCCACGTTCTTTCTAAAAAGTCTCTGAAAGAGGATCTTCCAAGGATACAGGTACAATAAGAGCGGTGCCTTAAACATATTTCAAACAAGAAAAATGATCGTTTATGTTGATCCTTGTCGACAAATATACTAATAAAAGATCTAGTAGAAAGTATTGGTTACACGGTTCAAAGTTTCATCTAAAAAGCAATGTCCCACGCGATAAATAATTTTTTAACAGGCAATACATCGAATTTTGTATACCCAGAATCTCTTCGAAAGTTAGGTTTTCCATCCAGGATCCTGTTGATAGACTGCCGGAAGGTGCGCGATTCGAAAGCGTTAAAAAATATTTGCGGGGACAGGGTAATGGAAAGCCACAGGTTGTTCAGTCATTACGATATTTATTTTAGAATATTCGTAGACCCTCACATCGACCGGTTCTACACGGCAGGTGCAACGTGAGCACGAGGTCATACATAAAAAGTTTCTGCTTGTTTGTATGTACAGAGAATAATCACGATTGCGCTTCGAGAGTTACATTCGCGTTAAGAACGCTTGGCCGTCGCCGCTACCGGCCGAAATAATCGGTTTAATTTGTTTAACTCCTTTTGTTCTGTTTCTCGTCACGCGAGGTACCATTTGATGCCTGTGTCCTCTGCCCACCCGCGCACGAACCCGTCGGCGAACATCGGAAAAACTGAAACCGCGTCTCGACGTGCTCACTTCGACGCCAACGTAATGAAGTTATCGATATAGTATCAAAAATACACATTGACAAAATTATACCTTTGTGCTTTTTTTTCTATTGTGTCTCGTTCGTACAGAGAGAACCTTGTTCGAACCTCGGGCAGAACTTCCGGATTCCCTTCTCGCCGCTCCGATTTGAATTGCATATCAGGAAGCACGCTTTATTGTTTTTGAAACGAGTCTTGTATTGTTCGTCGCTCGATTGTCTTCCGTGTGTTCAACAGGTAAATCGACCATTGAGAGCAATGCATGTTTCGGCTTACTTGGAACAGTAATTTTGGTAACCGGTAGGAAAGTAATGTCGGATTTCCACGAAAATGTTGAGTGATCTGTTACGTGTTTTTTAGTATTTGATAGAAGCGACTGCGTTCGGATTGGACGAACGTACGAGATCGGTCGGTGAAAGTTGATCTATTGCGACGAGTTTCTTCGCTGACATTATTTAACTACTACAGATTTAGATTGTTGGTAGTATTGGAAAGATTCGTTACAGATGTTGCGACCAATTCTCGCAAAATGTTGGTCTACGAAAGGATAAGAATATTGTTTTCTAAAAATAGAAAGTTAATATTATCGTAAACTAT